CACTTAGTCCATTGATGTTTAGAGTGAGTACTGAAAGATATGAATTTATTGCCATTATGTTGCCTGTAGAGTTGGAGTTTCTGGTGGTGTTCTCTGGTCCTTTCTAGTCTTTGTTGCTTTTGGTGTTTGGGGGTTTTGTTTTGTTTTTGGTTTTTTTGTCTTGTCTTCCCTCAGTCCCCCTTCAAATTTCTTACAGGGTTGGTTTAGTAGTCATGAACTCTTAATTTTTGTTTGTCTGGGAAACTTTTTATCTCTCCTTCTGTTTTGAATGACAGCCTTGGTGGATAAAGAATTCTTGGCTGCATATTTTATGATTCAGCACATTGAATATATCCTGCCACTCCTTTCTGGTCTGCGAAGTTACTGTGGATAGGTCTGCTACAAACCTGATCTGTCTTCCCTTCCCTTGTAAGTTGAGGACTTTTTTCCCTTGCTGCTTTCATGATTCTTTCCTTGCCTGAGTATTTTGTGAATTTAACTATGATATGCCTTGTTGACAGTTGGTTTTTGTTGAATCAAATGGGAGTCCTCTGTGCTTCCTGGATTTTGATATCTGTGTCTTTCCCCAGGTTGGGAAAGTTTTCCGCTAGGATTTGCTCACATAACCCTTCTACCCCCTTTTTTCTCTCTTCATCTTCTGGGACTCCTATGATTCTGATGTTGTTCCTTTTTAATGAGTCATCGATTTCTCTAATTCTTAAATTATGCTCTTTTGCCTTAGTCTCCCTCTTTCTTTCTGCTTCATTAGTCTCCATAAGTTCATCCTCTATATTGCCGATTCGCTGCTCTGCCTTATCCATCCTTGCCATTGTGGCATTCATTCGAGATTGCAGCTCAGTTATAACATTTTTTATTTTGTCCTGACTAGCTTTTATTTCTTTTATCTCCGCAGAAAGGGATTCTAATCTATTTTCAACCCCAGCTAGTATTCTTATTATCGCGATTCTAAATTCTGGTTCAGACATCTTCCTTGTATCTGTGTTAAGTCCCTGGCTGTTATTTCTTCCTGCTCTTTCTTTTGGGGTGAATTCCTGCATTTCATCATTTTGAAGGAAGAAAAAGAATAAGGGGAAAAATATTAAATTAAAAATATTAAAAGCAACACACAAAAAATCAAATTATGCTATGATCTTAGGTCTGTTTTGGTCTGCTTGTTGAAAGGTGCTTGATAGATTAGAGAAAGAAGGGAAAGACAAGAAAAAAAAAAAAGAAAAGGAAAATGTTTGAAAATTTGAAAAATGAATACAATGAAATGTAATATGAAATGATATAAGTAAAATAAAATTTGAAAAATTTACAAAAGTTGGGGCGCCTGGGTGGCGCAGTTGGTTAAGCGTCCGACTTCAGCCAGGTCACGATCTCGCGCTCCGTGAGTTCGAGCCCCGCGTCAGGCTCTGGGCTGATGGCTTGGAGCCTGGAGCCTGTTTCCGATTCTGTGTCTCCCTCTCTCTCTGCCCCTCCCCCACTCATGCTCTGTCTCTCTCTGTCCCAAAAATAAATAAACGTTTACAAAAAAAAAAAAAAGAAAAATTTACAAAAGTAAATATAGTAGAAAAAATTAAAGAAAAATGGTAATAAAAATTGACAATAAAAATAAATTTCTTTCTGTATTCACAAAAAGAAAAAAAAGTTGAATAGATGGACCAGCGAACAGACTGAAATACGATTGAAATTACATCATTTTCCCCTAGAAGTCAAACTATGAAGCACTTTATAGTCTGTAAACTGAGCAGGCGGAGAGACTTGTGGTGTTCCTTAAGAGCGAGGTTGGTCCAGTTGGGCAGGGCTTAGTGTAATGGCTCCGTTCTCCACTAGATGGCACTGCTTAGCTTACTGGGGTGGATTGTTTTGGCACTTAGAGGTGTGTATGCACATGCGCAGGAGAGGTGAAGATGGCACCACCCAGATACCCACTCTCTAGTATCGGAACACTGTTCTCCCTGATCAGCAATTGTGCACCCATCCTTTGTCTTCACCTTCCATCCACTCCCTAGTTCTACATTGTCCATGACCAAGGTGTCAGGTTGCCAGGCTGTACCTCCCCCTCTGCGTTTTTTCTCAGTTGTGGCTGTGTTTCTCCTCACTACTGAGAGACTGCGGCTTTTACCTGTGCAGACCTTCTGGGGGAGGGTCTCACCAAGTAATGGCCAGGTGCCAGTCGCACCCGGGAACGTTTGTGGGACCATGCTGCAGCTGATGCCCAGAGACCGTGGCTGGGTGCCAGCCCATCCCAGAAAAAGTTCACATGATCTTGTAGCAGCATTTCAGGGATATGGAAAATCACAACACACATCTGGCACCAGGCTTCACCCTTAACGTCCTTGTTCCAGCACCAGTGAATGTGGTTGTTCTCTGGTTCAGGTTGTGCAGATTGTTGTGTTATTTCTCAAATCAGTTTTTACATGTGCAAGATGGTTTAGTGTTGATATGGCTGTATTTCATGGATACGAAACGCAAAAAAAACTTCCATGTTGTTCTGCCATCTTGGCCCCTCCCAAATTATACTTTTATATATTGTAGGCCTAATAAAACATGTTATTTCATATAGTTGATATTTAAATCAGTTAACTAAGAGAGAAAAATATACATGTATACTGTCTTTGTTTATCAAATAATTACCTTTCCTGGTGCTCTTTATGTTTTCTTTTTAAAAAATTTTTGTTTTTAAATGTTCATTTAGTTTTGAGAGAGAGAGGAGAGAGGGAGCATGAGCTGGGGATGGGCAGAGAAAGGGCAGACACAGAATCTAAAGCAGGCTCCAGGCTCTGAGCTGAGCCTGATGCGAGGCTCAAACTCCCAAACTGTGAGATCATGACCTGAGCTGAAACTGGACACAACCCACTGAGCCACCCAGTCACCTCTCTTTATCTTTTCATGTGGATATATATTACTGCCTCGAATCATTTGCTTTCTCCTTGAAGTACTCCCTTCAGTATTAAGATAGGTCTGCTAGCAATTAATTCTCCCAGTTTCTATTTCATCTTCATTTTGAAAAAAATAGTTTTGCTTATTATAGCATTCCTGGTTTAAGTTTTTGAGTCTTGGTTTACATTCTGGTCTCTGTTATTTCTGAGGAGAGGTCATTAATGATTCTTACTGGGGCTCACTTGTAAGTAACAACTCATTTTCTTCTTGCTGCTTTCATATTTTTCTTTCAGCGGGCACCTGGCTGGCTCAGTAGGTACATCAAGGGGGGCTCTTGTATCAGGGTCATAGTTCAAATGCCACATTGGGCCTAGAGCTGACTTAAAAAACAAAACAAAACAACAAAAAAACAACAACCAAACAAATTTCTCTTTCACATTTCACCGTTTTTACCATGTTGTGTCTATTTGTAGATCTCTGTGCCTTGATCCTGCTGGGTGTGTTGAGCTTCCTGGATGTAAAAAATATAACTTTGAGAACTTTTCATTGTTATTGGACGATGTTAAAATGATCCTTTTCTCTCTTCTCATACACCCATTATATATGTAGGTATGCTTGCATCCAGGTTTTCTAAGTCTCTTTTTCGTTTGTTTTTCCTGTTAGACTGCACAATATCTTTTAAGTTTGCCAGTATTTTTTTCTGCCAGTTTAAATCTAATATTGAGTTGCTCTAGTGAAATTTTCATTTCATATTACAATACTTTTCAAGTATAGGATTCCCATGTGGTATTAAATAGCTTTTCTTTATTGATATTGATGTGACACTGTGACCATACCTTTATGTAAGTATAGGTTCTTTTGTTTATCTGAATATATTTATGGCTACTTTGAAGTCTTTGTTAAATTTGGTGTTCTTGCAGGCAGTTTCTGTTTTGTTGATGGGCCATTTTCCTATTACTTTGGACTTTTTCTTTATTTATAGAAAGTAGAAATTATAGATAATTGTAACATATCTGGTATTTTTGTCTGTTTCCCCTACTAGTGCTCCCCACCACCAGACTTGTTATTTGCTTGTTTTCTTTAGTGACTAGCTAGTTTAAGTGCAATCTGTCTTCCCCCAGCCCACACTGAAAATCTGTGATATTGCTCCTTTAGGGTACAGCCTTGATTATTACCACAGTTACCTTTGGATGACAGTGGTTTCCACAGGTTTATCTTTTGAGTATCTCCCAGCCGTTAAGTTGCAGAAATCATGATTTCTGCTTTCAACAATGCTGTGAAGTATATATTGCTTCACAGACCAATGTAATTAAGTCAGTATCTGGGATTTGTTCTGACAAAAGGAACAGCTCTGTAAGTGTCTAATTCTTTCTGGGAAACTAGCCAGCCTATAGTTCATACATCTCCAGCGAATCTTTCAATCTTCTCCTAATAGTCTTTTAGTAAAACCTCACTGTTTTTGAGAATGTCCTTAGGCTTGAACTTTTCTACAGTTACAAATGAGGTCATTTCCTATGGAGACACATATGGAACTCTCTTGTCTGTGGCCAGCTTCTCCCTCTGGACAAAATCACCAAGCCACAGACCTTGTTCTTGGGTGAGGGACAGTGGCATGCTTCTCTCTGTCACACTTCTGCTTTTAGGAGCTGGGTGCTTTGTAGATGGGGAGAGGGTGAGTGCAGCAGCCAGAGGTTTCAGTTTGCCAAGATCTGTTGGCATGGAAATCCTACCATGATTCAAGACAGACAACTGGAACCCCAGTATTCTCACCAGGGCCACACCCAAGGTACATATTACATTTTGTGTTTGGAACCAAACAGAAGAAAATCTATGTCCCTTAGCTGCATTTCCCTGAGCAATGGGTAGCTGAGGGCAGGATGAGAAATGTTGGTATCCTGCTCTTCCCAGGAAGACAGCCACCTGACTGGGAACACAGGTTGACAATTGGTGAGGAAGCCTGTGTCCTTGATTGTACCAATTTGGAATGGAGTATCTTTCTCACTAAGATGTGATGAACAAGGAAGGGTGCAGGTTTGGTTCAGATACTGCAGACTCTCAGCTTATAAGTTTTGGTAGATTTTCCTGAACAAATGTTTCTTTATTTGCTATATATTTTTATATATAATTTTCATTAGTTTTGACAGGGAGCATGTCATCAGAGCTCCTCACGCTGTCATGGCAGAAATGGAATTCCCTGACCAATTCCTTACAGTTCTAAACATGGACCATGTAAGTTGCTGAACCTGTCTCCTTTGTGAACATTTCCTTTTTCTGAATCTCCGTATCAAATAGGGCCTGCCCCACATTCCCATAGTTTTTCACTTTCTATGAGAGTTGGAACCAAACATAACAGTATAACTCGTGTGCCTATCTATTCTCCAAATAATTCTCAACACTCTTATTTGTTAAGTCTTTTGTTAACAGCAACTATAGAGTAGAAATGGAATACATAGATAGAGGAATTTACCATACTTTTTCATATTCTTGGATAAAGATCAGATGTATCCATTTGATTACATATGGGAAAATTCTGTACTTCTGGAGACTGGAGTTTCCAGGTAGACTGGATTTGATTTTCACTGATCTCCATCATACATAGATGATTGTAGACTCCCAGAATTGAAGAACACCTTATCCATTGTAAATGTCTAAATACAATTAAGCCTGATATTTTTTCACCAAGTAAGACTATTCTGTAGACACTAAAAAGTACTTATTAAATGGTTTGTCATTAGAAGCAAAAGTTCTGATCATATCATGTTAAATAATACTTAACACAGTATTGAACTTAGGGCTGCAAGAAATTATAAATTAGTGTTCACATCCCATTTTCTAAGTTAGATACTTTTCCTTTACAGAGAAACAAGGATATAGAAACTCACCTTTATTAATTCATGCAGCTCGTTTCCAGACATGCTTAACATGCTTATGGAATTAAGAAATTCCATAATATGCAGGAAGATATTCTCTGAGTCAAATAGATTCTTTAAAGATATGTAGATAGTCCTGTTTGGGAGCGCTAATTTCCTTACTCCCATACCATAACATTCTACCCACCCTTGCCTACTAGTTTACTAATCGGCTTACCATAATGCAATTCTTTTTCTCAAAAATATTTCATTTATATATGGTTTTTTGTTTCAGGAATTGGTGACTTTCAGGGATGTGGTCATCAGCTTCTCTCAAGAGGAATGGGAATATCTGGATTCGGCTCAGAGGGACTTATATTGGGATGTGATGATGGAGAACTATAGCAACTTGGTCTCACTGGGTAAATTTATCTGCTTCATATAATTTAGAATATGCTCTATTCTATCATAGAGTTGCTTGTCAGTAAACCCAAGACTATCTTTTGAAAGAAAATGGGTACATCTCTTCTCTGTTTCCAAAGGCATGGGTTGAACATTGTGTTGGAGATGACACCTCCATGAAGCACATCCATCATTCTTCATGTTTGTATTCTCTCAGTCCCTTCATATTCCTACTTTCCCTGATACCCAGGGAGTTTATTTTGAATTTTAGAACACATATAGCATATCCTTTGAGAGAGCTATTATACTGTGATTAAAGTCAGAATTGCTATAAATGCTTTGTTATCACACCTTCTTGACGAACAGCTAAGAAACCATGTCCTGAGTCATTACAATTATTAGAAGAATCTGTGTAATTTATATGTTAGATGGATAAACAGAATTTATGTTCATTGCCTGCCATATGCATTATATTATACCTGTTTTGTGGTTGAAGAACTTTGCATTTAACATTGTCAGTATTATAGCAAGGATCTTTTAATGTTTTAGAAAGCTACTTGTTTTCCTGTCAGATTACATAGTTCGTGCCATGTACCAAGCCCTATTCTAAGGAATTTTAATATATGGGCTCTTTTAATTTCTCAATAACCTGATGACATGAATAGTACTTGTATTATTTTGCTAAGACAAAGAGTATTTAGGCAGCTATCCCAAGGTTATACAGCTAATTAGTGTCAAAAGCAGGTAAATCCTTACTTTTTGTGTGACTAACAACCTCCATAGGTTTTAATATGTAATATAGTTGACGCTTCAACAACAGAGGTTTGAACTATGTTGGTGTACTTCTGTGTGAACTTTTTGATGAAGGTAATAGAATACTGTAAATGTATTTTCTCTTATGATTTTCTTAACATTTTCTTTATGAATACAGAATATAATACATATAATATATAAACTATGTGTTAGCTATTTGTTATTGGAAAGGCTTCCAGTCAATAGTAGGCTATTAATAGTTAAGTTTGGGAGGAGTCAAAGTTATATGAGGATTTTTGATTGTGCAGGGCACGGGGGCCCTAACCCTGGTTTCACTGGTCAACTGCATTTTCAATGTGATCATTCTCTGAAAATTTTTTAAATTTCAATTACATTTCCACATTTGGTGGAATTTTCTTTCTTTCATTTTTTAATGTTTCTTTATTTTAGAGAGAGAGAGAGCGTGAGCAGGGAAGGGGCAGAGAGAGAGGGAAACACAGAATCCAAAGCAGGCTGTGGGCTCTGAGCTGTCAGCATGGAGCCCGACACAGGGCTTGAACTCACAAACTGTGAGATCGTGACCTTAGATGAAGTCAGACACTGAACCGGCTGAGCCACGCAGGTGCCCCATCGTTTCATTTCTAGGTAGAACTGCTTTTTGATTTACTGATACTGGCACTCATTTATGATTTTACTATCGTAATCCAATAATGACTGTATTATTATACCTTTGTTACATATAACATAATTCAGTCACAGAAAATTATTTCCGCCCTGTATTATGTAATGTTTATCATTCACTTTGGATTTTCCTCAGGTTATCCTCTCATCTGATTGCCAGTCTCCAGCCAATGTCCAACAGATCCTCTGTTACAAAGTGCCTTCCACTCTTGCCCACCTGTACCACCTTTTCCACATCATTCTGTTAGCTTATTCCCCTTTTCAGAATTGTATAAGCCTTATATAGTATGATATATACCTACTATAGTATCAAAAATATTCTGATACTGCCGTGCAGAATATAACATCATTGGTTCTGAGTACAGGAAAATGGAAAAGAATACCTGGGAAAGAGCATGAAGGAAAACATTTAAATATAGATTAGGATTTCTGTAGGATAGATAAGTGATAGTGAAAAAACTAATGAAGGGGCACCTGGGTGGCTCAGTCTATTAGGCATCCAACTTCAGCTCGGGTCATGATCTCACGGTTCATGAGTTTAAGCCCCATGTCGGGCTCTGCGCTGTCAATGCAGAGCTTAGAGCCTGTTTCAGATTCTGTGTCTCCCTCTTTCTCTCTCTGCCCTCCCTCCCTTGCTCGTGCTCTGTCTCTCTCTCTCTCTCTAGGATAAACATTTTAAAAATTTAGAAAAAGCTAATGAAAAGTAAATAAAATTCCTCATTTCTATTGACACATGAAGAATATCATCGTTCTGCATAGCAGGGAATTAACAGCAGTGATGGAGACAGTGCAAGTAGAGTCAATTAGAAAACATTCATAAACACTGTGTGTGTGTGTGTCTGTGTGTGTGTGTCTGTGTGTGTGTGTATAAATCACTACAGTACAATGTGAGGGTTAAAAGGCATGGAGACATACTAAAACTACTACATTATTCTTATACTTACATAATTATTATTTTTTAAATGCTTGTTTATTTTTGAGTGAGACAGCACAAGTTGGGGAGGAGCAGAGAGAGGGAAACACAAAATCCGAAGCAGGCTCCAGGCTCTGAGCTGTCAGCACAAAGCCCAACGTGGGGCCTGAACTCACAAGCTGTGAGATCATGACCTGAGCTGCAGTCAGATGTTTAATCAACTTAGCCACCCAGGTGCCCCATTACTTTGATGATCCACTGTATTACCCAGTGGATATTTGTAATATTTCCTTTTTGTCTCATTTAGATTCCTTTCATCCAGTGATTTTATTTCCCTGTAATTTTCAATGTGTATGTCCTTGGGGTTTGTTATTCAGTGGCATGTAATGACATGTAATGACATTCAGTGGCATTTGTCCTTTTGGAATTTAAGGAATAAGGTTAAACAATGTAACAAAATTACTGAATATAGAATTGAAAAAAATAATGTGAAGGCAAGCAACCAGATATTAGAACAGAAACATAAATATGAACTTATAATCAGTATATCCTTTCTAAGGATATTAACTTTTAGACCCAGACAGTGAAATGTGGGTGGTGTATAAAGAATGCATTTCTTGAGAAATGAAATATCCTGTGGGTGTAGATTTGGTTTGCTGTAAGAGGTGAAAAAAAGATTATGTGAAAGGGGATAATGGATTAAAATGAGATCTTACAAGCACCTTGTTATCCACTAAAGTATTTGGATTCTATTGTTTAAAAAAACATACAAAATTATTAGTATGTATAGGCGATCAAATCATGATCCACATCAGCATTATCTCTATATGATAACTAGTTCTATATCTATTGATATTGGTCAGTTTATCTGGACTTGTTTCTGAACATTAGTACTTGACAAGCTTACTAGATGATGATCAACACCTACATGTCAGACACTGACTTAATCTGTTTCCCTTACCACAAACCTCACAATCTTATATTATGCTTTCATCATTCTCTGATCTTTCTTAAAACTTCATTACAATACTTTAATCATTCACTCGCATTGTTTATATTTACAATTTTTCTCCTCTGCATTGTATAAATGTTTCATTTTTATACCACATGAAAAAAATTATTTCTTTTCTCCTCTCTTTCAGATTTGGAGTCCAAGTATGACACAAAGTATTTATTTAATGGAAAGGACATTATTGAAAATAATGGTTTTCAGTGGAAAGTAACAGAAGGTAAATTCATTGGTTTGGAGAGCTCCATTTTCAGAAATGACTGGCAAAGCAAAAGCAAGACTGAAGTACAAAGACCTGAAGTGGGATATTTCAGCCAAATGAAAATCAGCTCTGAAAAAGTGCCAAATTATAAACATCATAAATCTCTTATATCACATCAGAGAATTCATGAAAGCAAGAAACCCTATGAATATAAGGAATATGAAAAGGTCCTTAGCTGTGACTTAAGTTTTGATGAATGTGAGAGAATACATACTGGTGAGAAAACATATCAGTGTAATGCATATTGGAAAACCTTTGGAGATGACCCACATACCCTACAACTGAACATTCATACTGGTGTAAAACCTTGTAAATATATGGAATATAGGAATCCATTTAGTTTTTATGAAGACCTTAGTATACACCAGAAAATGCATGATGATCAGAAGTGCTATAAATGTAAGGAATTTAAAAGGACCATTAGAAGAGTTGAAGAAATAACTCCACTAAAAATAATTCATGATGGTGAGAAAGCCTATGAATGCACTTTCTGTGGGAAATCCTTTAGAGTGCATGCACAACTTGCTCGACACCAGAAAATCCATACTGATGAGAAACCTTACAAATGTATGGAATGTGGCAAGGACTTTAGATTCCATTCACAGCTAACTGAACATCAGAGAATTCATACTGGTGAGAAACCGTACAAATGTATACAATGTGAGAAGGTCTTTAGAATTAGTTCACAGCTTATTGAACATCAGCGAATTCATACAGGTGAGAAACCTTATGCATGTAAAGAATGTGGAAAAACCTTTGGGGTATGTAGAGAACTGGCTCGACATCAGAGAATTCATACTGGAAAGAAACCCTATGAATGCAAGGCATGTGGAAAAGTCTTTAGAAACAGTTCATCCCTGACTAGACATCAGAGAATTCATACTGGTGAGAAACCCTATAAATGTAAGGAATGTGGGAAAGCTTTTGGAGTAGGTAGTGAACTTACTCGACATCAGAGAATTCACAGTGGTCAGAAACCTTATGAATGTAAAGAGTGTGGAAAGTTCTTTAGACTTACGTCAGCACTTATTCAACATCAGAGGATTCACAGTGGTGAGAAACCTTATGAATGTAAGGTATGTGGGAAGGCTTTTAGACATAGTTCAGCCCTTACTGAACATCAGAGAATTCACACTGGAGAGAAACCTTATGAATGCAAAGCATGTGGGAAAGCCTTTAGACATAGTTCATCCTTTACAAAACATCAGAGAATTCATACTGGTAAGAAACCCTATGAATGTGAGGAATGCGGGAATGCCTTTAGTGTGGGTAAGCACCTTACGTGATATCAAAAAAATTATACTGGTAAGAAGTCTTTTGAATGAAAGACATGTACAAAAGTTTGGTTTCTGAGTTTCACTGGGAAAATTGATGCATTATAATAAGTAATCAAGGTGATTATGTTGCTCTTACTGCTTCCAGACTTTCTGGCCACTCTATCTAGTACAATCACTCAGTGGTGTATATACTTTGTTTTGTTAGATACTGCCAAATATTTCTCCTGTCAGTTAACCTTCTGAATATCCATTTAGGTAGTATGGTCCCTATTCATTTCTGATATATGTGGAAAATGTGTTTCATTAATTCTTAACTAGTTAAATTCACATGAATTTCTTTTCCAGGCATGTTTTGTTTACAATTACTTTTGGTGTTTGTGTTTCTGTTCTTTTGTCTATTCATTGTTTTTGGCTTACTAATTTGTAATATTCTTCAAATAAATCTTTTGCATTCTAATTTTTTGTTTGTTTATATAGTGTAATTTTCTTCCTCCAGAGAGTTAAAACTTCCAGTCAGATACTATGTGGTTTTAAAGTCTTGTGTCTGTGCATGGTATTTGTGTAAATTTATGTTTCATTTTCTATTCTTACTTTAGTAGGAGATGTGTAATCTCCTTTCCATTGTCATTAAATGATTGATGTCTTTTAAAATTTCTGTTTTGACATGACAGACTTGCCTAAATTCCTACTACAATACAATTCCTTTAGAAAAGCCTTTCTTTTTACCTCTAGACAGTACCAATGAGGATCCAAAGGGGCACTTTAAATATTTCATAAAATTTACTAAGCCAATCTTATCTGTCTCAGATTTATTAAAGGAGGGGAAAATCTACAACTATTGCAATGATTATAAACTTGGTAAACTCACCTTTAGAGGATTTAGAACTCTACTACTACCATGACTCCAACGGGGTTTGTGTATTTGTACTTTTTCTGTGTTGCCTTGCTGGGTTTTGGCAGTTTAACAATCAACAGAACTTTGATTTTATCAAGGAAAGGAAAAGGAAAAGAAGAAAGAAAGAAAATTAGTGACAGAGATTAAGTGTCCATCATCTCTTTTGTTAATCACAACAGTTGACTGGGTTATGCAAATAATGTTCATTATGAGCCACTGTTTATTAGATTTTTATAAGAATTTACCTATTGTTTCGATACATTTTTGTCACTATTATTCATTAGATTTTAATTTTTTAAATTGGTCTTCCCCAGAATTTCTGGACTCTTTAAAGTTTTACATGACCAACAATAGTAATTAAGCCATTTTCTTATGAGATATATTGGGCTATTTTCTTTAAATATTTCTAATTAGTGTTTTACTTAAATGAGCAGTTTTAGGGGTGCCTGGGTGGCTGTTGGTTACATGTCCAACTCTTTTTTCAACGTTTTTATTTTTATTTTTGGGACAGAGAGAGACAGAGCATGAACGGGCGAGGGGCAGAGAGAGAGGGAGACACAGAATCGGAAACAGGCTCCAGGCTCTGAGCCATCAGCCCAGAGCCCGACGCGGGGCTCGAACTCACGGACCGCGAGATCGTGACCTGGCTGAAGTCGGACGGACGCTTAACCGACTGCGCCACCCAGGCGCCCCTACATGTCCAACTCTTGATCTCAGCTCAGGTCACGATCTCATGGTTCATGGGTTCAAGCCCCACGTCTGGCTCCTCGCTGAGAGTGCAGAGCCTACTTGGGTTTCTGTCTTTCCCTTTCTGCTGCTCCCCTGCTCTCTCTCTCAAAATAAATAAATAAACTTTAAAAAATCTCAACTTTATAGAAAAAAATAAATTAGCAGTTTTAAAAAATATATACTTGGTAGATATTTCATATGCTATAAAATAAGACAAGGAGTCCCTGTTGTTATTCTTATTAGGATATGTACTATTTTGTATCTTTAAAATATTTCAACTCTATTATAATCATTAATAGTCTGTTCTACTTACTGAGCTATTATGTGACCACACTGCTGATTTGCTCTTTCATCTCATTTTACTTGGTTATTCTGAGTTCCAATCAATACTGAGTAGTTTCTCTCTTGTTGGTGTAATACTCCAGAACTACTTGCCAATATACTCCTTTGTGTATTTTTATTTTATTATTTTTTTTTTGCTAGCTTGAACAATTAAAACAATAAGCTATCTAATCCTTATGTATACACTTAAATAACCATGTATCTTGGCATTTACTTTTCAAAATCATTAAAAATGAAAATTTAATAAATTAACATATCCTTATTATGCCTCCCTTATTTGTATTACAGCTATATTTTGGTCACATTCCATTAATGTTTTTCTTTGAACTTTGTAATGAACTCCTGTTATTTCACAGACTGCTAGTACAATAAACCATAAGGTAATTATTGCTATTAACTATTTTTTTGCTACTTCGTTTTGATGCTCATTCCTTTCCATATTCATTTTGTCCTTTATCTTTTCCACATCTTCCCTAGCCTACTTAGAAACTTGTTTTCCCCCCTAATAAGAGAGAATGTTCCAGACCTATCTTGTTTATTGCTGCAGTGAACCATGAAATATAATAGAATCCTTTTTTAAATTATTAATTATTAAATGAATGAATAATTAACAATATTAATGAATAATAATTAAGTGAATTATTAAATGAGGGAAATAGGAAATCACTGTAATAGTAATAATCATATACAAAATTCATTGATGGATACTAAAATTTGAAGGTGAAAATGTAAAGAGAAACAGGCTATTAAAATTATACCAGTGAATCCCAAATACATAATTAAAAGGAGAAAACATTCCATATATTACCTTAACCAAATGATCACTGGCAGTAAGACATCAGCACAAATACCACCCAAAGTGAGGCACTAATAAGGGCACACCACATGAGTAGTATTGCCACTAAAAAAAAAAAAAAGAAAGAAAGCATAACCATAACGTAATCATGAGGAAACTGTAGACAAACACAATGAAGAACCTTCTATATAATAACTTACCCAATACTCCAGGAAACCATGACTTTTCAAGGTCATGAGTGGCAAGGAAAGACTGAAAAACTCAAAAGATTGGAGGAGACTAAGGAAATTTAGAACTAAATACAATGCAGGAATTTGATCTTTGAGACATTAGTGGAGAAAACCTGGTGAAATCAAAATAAAGCCTGTACTTTAATTGATAGTATTAGGCCAATGTTAATGTCCATTTTTGATCACTATACTATGATAATGCAATATATTAGTATTACGCAGACTGGGAGAAAGATGTATGGAAATTCTGTACTCTTGGAATTTTTCTGTAAGTCTAAAACTTAAAAAAAAAAAAAAAAATTGCTTCCAGGGATGCCTGGGTGGCTCAGTCAATTAAGTGCCCGACTTCAGCTCAGGTCATAATCTCGCGGTTCATGAGTTCGAGCCCCACATCGGGCTCTGTGCTGACAGCTCAGAGCCTGGAGCCTGCTTCTGATTCTCTGTCTCCCTCTCGCTCTGCTCCTCCCCCATTCATGCTCTGTCCCTCAAAAAAAATAAATGTTAAAAAAAAAACTTTATTTCTACAAAATAATGGTCATAAAGATGCTCAATAAGATCAGGAAATGATGCATGAACAGAGTGAGTGTTTCAACAAAGAGACAAATTAGAAAGTACCACACAGAAATCAGAAATGAAAGATATAATCACTGAATTAAAAAATACAACACAAGAGTTCAACAGCAGACTAATGAGGTGGAAGAAAGGATCAGTAAATTCAAACACAGGGCAGTGAAATTCATAGTCTTGAAAAGAAAGCTAGAGTAGCAATATTTATAATAGACAAAATAGACTCTAAAACAAAGACTGTAACAACAGATAAAGGATACTACACAACCATAAAGGGAACAATCCAAAAAGAAGATATAATAAATGTAAATATTTATGCATTCAACATGAAAGCACACACACACATAAAACAGCTAATAACAAACATAAAGGAAGTAACCTATAGTGATACAATAATAGTATGGAACTTTAACACCCCACTTACATCAACAGATCACCTAAACAAAAATCAACAAGGAAACAGTGTTTTTGAATGACACATTAGACCAGATGGATCTAACAGATATATTCATAACATTCCATCTTAAAATAGCAAAATACACATTTTCTTTTTTTTTTTAATTTTTTAAATGTTTTTATTTATTTTTGACAGAGACAGAGTACGAGTGGGGGAGAGGCAGAGAGAGAGGGAGACAGAATGTGAAGCAGGCCCAGGCTCTGAGCTGTCAGCACAGAACCCGATGCAGGGCTAGAACTCATGAACCACGAGATCATGACCTGAGCTGAAGTCTGACGCTTGAACAACTGAGCCACCCAGATGCCCCATACACATTCTTTTCAAGGGCATGTAGAACATTCTCTGGAATAGGTGACGTGTTAGACCACAAAACAAATTGAAACAAATTCAAAAAGACTGAAGTCATATCATGCATCATTTCTGACCACAATGCTCAGAAACTAGAAATCAACCACAAGAAAAAATGCTGAAAGAAAGCAAACACATAGAGGCTAAATAACATGCTACTAAACAATGAATGGGTCAACCAAAAAATCAAAAAGGAAATCAAAATATACATAGAGACAAAAGAAAATGAAAAAGCAACAGTGCCAAAATCATTGGGATATGGCAAAACCTATGCTAAAAGGAAAGTTTAAAGAAACACAGGCCTATCACAAGAAGCAAGAAAAATCTCAACCTAACCATACACCTTGAGGAACTAGAAAAAGAATAAATAAACCAAAAGCCAGTAGAAAGAGTGAAAGAAATGATAAAGATTACAGCAGAAATAAATGAAATAGAAACTAAAAAAACCAATAGAACAGATTAATGAAACCAAGAGGGTTTCTTTGAAAAGATCAACAAAATAGATAAACCTTTAGCCAGGCTGGTCAAAAGAAAAAGAGGACTCAAACAAAATCAGAAATGAAAGGGAGAAATAACAACCAATGCCACAGAAATACAAAAGAGTATAAGAGAATATTATGACTT